TTACAAAAGAATTATATTTTAAATATATGCTGTTCTTTTTTTAAAAAAAATTTTTTTTATGAAAGAATCCTGAAAAAAGTATCACAAGTTATAAATATATATATATATATTAAGCAGCACAACTGTTTCCAACACTGATAATAAATCAGCATATTAGAATGATTTCTGAAGGATAATGTGACACTGAAGACTAGCGTAATGATGCTGAAAATTCAGCTTTGACATCACAGAAATAAATTACATTTTAAAGTATATTCAAATACAAACCCATTATTTTAAATTGTAATAATATTTCGCAATATTTCAGTTTGTTTCTGTATTTTTGGTCAAATAAATGCAGGCTTGATAAGCAATAAGAGACTATTTTCATAAACATTAAAAATAGTAATGTTTCCAAATATAGTTTTTTAAATGGGATTATGACGCATGGAAGTTGCATGTATCCACCAAAATGGTGTAGAGCTTGCGAGATTGTTTAAGTGAACATCTCTAATACTGACCTCAGGCCATCCTCATTGTGGAGCCCTTCACAGTACGTGCACTTCCTCCCTGTTTGCTTATGCTTGGACACTTCTCCTACAGCTACGTCATTTATTTCATTAGAAAGCACTGTCCCTCCTTGTCCGTTCCACCTCATCCAGGCATCCATTTTTATTTCCATCTTCTTGTCTCCTTCCTTCTTCGTCTGAATAAACAACTTACCTCATCACCATTGTTGTGCCTCTGTTCTCTTGCTTGTCAAAGCGCCTCCTCGGAATTCAATTACCCAACTTTTGTTTTATGATGTTGTCTTGTCAGCTGATGACGGATTCATTATCTCATCACTCCGCTTGACAAGACTGTCACAACGCTCCCTTTGCCTCTTATTCCACTGATCACGCTCCGCTTGTAAATATATTGGCTGGCTCTCTTCTCTCCAGTCCTGTCTGTGATGTCCACTGCCATCCTCATCTCTGAGATCATCGTGCCCTCAGAGTCCAGGAATTCACACAAACCCTGCTGTTGTGATCCTGACAAAAACTCTGTTGTTTTAGTTGAAGGCCAGTTAACATCTCTGATATGACTAAATATTTATGCACACTGCGGCAGAATACGGTTGTCGGTTGTGTTTGTGTTGCTAAGTACAGCTCTGATCTCACGCAGTTTTGGTTTAGGTTATTTTTTTGCTGTCAGTCAGTAATGTTAGGACTGTCAAGCTCTCCCAGGTTATGAAAAATGGCAGGGGAAAAAGAGTGAGACAAAACCCAATATGTGTCAATCACAAACAACAGTGACTAAAATTTTGCTTCAAATATTTATAAACAAATATCACGCCACAAAATATTTATACATATAAATCCATGACATCTTGAAAGAATGAATTATTCAGCATCTGAACCAGTTATTTATATAGTATTATAGGTTTTATATATATTTTTTTGAATTAGCTTTCAATTTTATATATTTTATGTCGTCATTAAAATTTTAGTTTAATTTTGGCTAATTGTCTAATGTGCCCTGGTCATTTATTATTATTATTTTTTAAATTACACTTTAGGTTTATTTATATTGATTTAAGTTTTAATTTTAGTTTTTTGTTTTTGTTTTTCATTTTAATATCTATAGGCTATAGTAATGTTAGTGCTTCAGTTTAAACTTATTTCGGAAATTCCTAATTTTAGTTTTTGTTAAATGATATATTTTTTTTACATTTAAGCTTCCAAATATATAAAATAAGTGAAATAATCCTTCAATTTGGCCACTAAAATGAAAATTAAATGTTCACATTTTTATAATATTAAATAAAAATATAATATAATATATTGTTATATAATATTATTTTAAATGTATTATATAACGTCTTTTTTTTTTTTTGCCTGTCGTTTGCGGTTGACTAAAAGTTCATTTTGGACCCTAGAGATAGTTATATAAGATAATATAGGCCTATACTTACATGTAAATCTGGTGGGAAAAACTTGGCAATTTCTAATATTTTACGGTGCATTGAGAGACATAAAAAGTGGTACATCAAAAGGCAGTCTTTTCTATTCCTGTTACTTAACCCTCAGACAAGGTCATTTTGTGTTTCATAATGCATTATTCAGACCTATCTTTTCGTCTCCTGGTTCATTATGCTTGTGTGTTTGTGGTGTTTCTCTCTGTTCTTTCAGCAATGTTATGAATAAAGGGTCTGCGAATTCATTTAGCATTCATTCGGTTGTTAGAAAATAAACTAAAAAAAACCCGCTCTGGGAATAGATCTTGAAGCTATGCACTTCCCTTGTCTTGGTTTGATAATGGCAGTGGGATTGAAGTGAACATTCACAGCAGGAGGTGCTTTGAGAGGGGAAAGGTACTTTCGGGGTGAAGCCAGCTTACTTGCTTGGGCCTTGATTGGCGGTTATTTAGTGGCCTGAGTTAAAAAGAAAAGAAAAAAAGCCCACCCTTAATCTGGTCCCTAAATATGGCTTTGGGTCCCTTATCGAATCTTACGCTGCAAGGCTTAATGCTTTTTTTTTGTTTGCTTTTCTTTGTATTGTTGTAATGTCGGTAGTAAATGTAAATGAAGAATGCTTCATCTCTTTCAGTGTTACCAGGACAGAGTAATTCACGTTTATTTGTCAGCAAAAGTCCGCCGGATGACACGAAACACACCGTCCAGTGGACTTTTAACAGCTCCAGGGCTTTCATGAAAACTACAGATAATACTTGCGTATTTTTTTTTATCCCTTCCCACGGACAGTCGGATTGACAGAGGGTTATTAACAAAACACTTATGGCAACAGCTTTCTTACCTCTACTCGACTGTGTTTTTCTTCTGCCGAACTGACAGAATGACAGTTTCTTTCAGTTTTTTTCGGTTTAAAATGTTGACTACAAACACAGAGGTTTTTCAGATTTTCTGTTGCGCCGTTCTCTCCGCATTTACAATTCTTTGCAGCCTTTAGCTTCCACCTACAACACGCTGAATCCTTCACTGGAAACTGAAAGTAACTCACTCCCCCTAAACGTTTACTCTTTCCATTCTTACACCTGGGAAGTTGACACCATTATGGCTAAAAGTTTGCTAAGAAGTATTTCCTACTAAAGCAAGGTGGTATTTTCAGGGTTCTCAAGTCTCACGCATTGGCCGTGAGACACACGCAATTCAACCAGTTCACACGCTCACACGCCACACCATGTATTTCTCACGCTGAAAAGGCAATGCCTACCAAGTTGTCCTGCAAGCTTTATATAACGTTGTATACGAGGCGCAGGCACACAAAGTGAAGTTTCCTGCCGCCAGCGCGTCCGTATCTCGGCCAGATTGCGTTCGTTACTAGGCAACATAGATGCGCGAACCACACTGAAGTTGACGGAACATTCTCGGCCATCGCGCGAACGTACGCACACACATTCTCGGCCACCGTACGTTCGTTACTAGGTAACCAACAATATCGCGCGAACACACGTCGTGATGGAGAAGGTAAGTTGGAAGAAAGCTCGTCTAACATTTTTAGGCTAGAACATTTAATATATAGCCAATCGTATACATTATTATTGATGCAGTCAAAAACTCTACAACTACTTTGCAACCAAGCCAGAAGCTTTTGCTAAGGGAAATGTTAGTGGGTATGGGAAGGAATGAAGTTTATTGAAGAATTGAATTTTATTTTAAATTATATATTATACTGTATTAATAGTCTTTCTAGTTACATTAAGGCTACATGTATTAAGGCAGAGTGCTCTGGGTAATATTTTATATCCTGTCAAAACATACATTATAATCATTGCCATTGCATTTGTATTTTTCAAAGATGTCAGGGAAAAATGCAAAAAGATTTGTTTTTCCAAACTTTTTCTGAGCAATTTGTTATATTTTAGTAATTTTGAAATATAACATTAAAGAGTATATTTGATGTGATGAATTGCTCTGTCATTTATCAGATTTACCAATTATTATAATTTTAATTTGTGCTGGTTAATTATGAACAATGGGTAAAATTTGGGGGCGGGGGTGGGCGGGGCTCCACTGGGGCTCCTCCCCTTGGGCTCCTCCCCTAACCGCATGTGATCTCACTCCAAGCTTTTGATAAAACTTGAGAACCCTGTATTTTACTCTGGTCAAGCGTATCCATAGCAGACTGGTGGGAGTGGCCTTGAACAGCAACATGCCCAGTGCATTATGGGTGTTATTTTCCTATACCTATTTGACAAAAGGGAAGGCAACAGCCTTTTTTCTCTGTTTTCTCTAGTCTGGAAGCACTGATTTCAAAATGTGTATTTTGTATAGGCAGACAAGTTTTATTGAAAGCCCATTTAGCCAGCGGTGAAGTACTCCTTTATGACACCACTTGTATCTGATATCTGTGTTTGATCGCTTTTAGCAACACTGTTGACCCTCTGGTTTAGATAGTCTGTGCTGTTTAAAATTGAAAAAAATAATTTACATAATTCATGTCAATCCGCACAAGATCTGATTCACTTGCACTTAATAGACTCACAGAGATGGATTGTTTTCTTAAAAATCTTTTTTTGTGTGTTTTTCCAAAGAAAGTAAGTTGTTTACTTTGGGGGTGGCATGAGCCAGATGCGAAAAAACAATCAGATCTTGTGCAGGTTACTGTGTTTATACTTGTGCAGCAATATCTGTGTTAGATGTGCGCAAAAAATAAGATTTTTTTGTGGCAGTGTAAATGAAGTATAAGTCTAGAGAATTGTTTATGTGTATTATTGTCCGCCAGACAATAAGAAGTCGAATTTTTTTAAACGAAAACAACAACACACATGATTTAAGATATCATTCATGAAAGTAGCACAACGTTTAAAAATTAGGGTTATGGTTTTGTTCACATCCCTAAATGAATCTATTAGCAGTAGTCAAGTCAAGTGGATGTATTGTCAGTAGTAACAGTGACATTTACTACTAAGTCAAAATATTGTATTTGTATTAGACACTCAAACCAACTGCTTTTGAAGCATTTTTCTTCATTTGAACATGTATTTGTGTAAAAGATCTTCTCTATTGTGTTTAATTGCAGGCAATGAGTTCGGCCATCCAGAATGGCTGGATTTTCCACGAGTCGGCAACAATGAGAGTTATCATTACGCCCGCCGGCAGTTCAACCTTCTGGACACGGATCACCTGCGTTACCTTCAGCTGTACGCTTTCGACCGAGACATGAACCGCACGGAGGACAAGTACGGCTGGCTGGCTGCTCCCCCGGTGAGAGAAGATTCACCCCCATACAGTTTCCCTCTCTTACCCTGTCTTTCTTCCCAGTGCCAATAAATACTGCTTACTGTTCTTCCTTTATCAGTGAAGCTCTCGCGTAAAACCACAGTTTGGCTTTCTTTTAGTCATCTTCCATGTTCTCAACCCGCCCTCTTTCTCTCGTTGTAACTCTCTTTATATGCAGCATAAAAGCATCTTTCTGTCACCAGAACATCTGCCGTTTCACTTAAACAACTATCAGTCCCTAACCAGCCCTGCAATCTCATTACTCAGTTGCTTTTTAAACAAATACCCACCCTACCATATGGAAACTGTGTATGAGTCATAACCTGAGGAAAACAACTCCTGCAGGAGCATGAAGGAATGAATAGACTGATTTACTGCTGTCGGCCGTGAAGGAGCGAAAGATGGAAGGTAGTGACAGCTTGCCTTAATACAATGTTCTGGGTAAATGCAACAAACTCTATCGTCAGCATCCGAGCCATGAAGGATAGAAAATAATTTTGACTTGTCGCTCAGTTCATAAAAATCACATCCCCTTTAATAGTTTTAGCTTTAGTTAAAGGGGTCATATAATGGTACATGCACTTTTACAAGTTGATTGTACTGAAATGTGTGTTGGCAGTGACTGTACACAACCATCATATAATGATAAAAAATCCATCCAGTGTTTTTGTTTTAATCTCCTTATATGTTTTCCCCTGCCTCAAATCAAGCCGTTCGACCGTGTGACGTCACACGCTCGGAAGCCCCTCCCACGATTGTTGATTGACAGGAGCGTTTCAACTCATAGTCCGCGCGGACAGGCGCGGTCATTGTTGATATGCTGGAGCACTGTCTATGAGCAGAATGGCGTCTAAGCGATTGTGGTGTTCTGTTCTTGGGTGTAATAACGAACACAGCAGTGATTTTAATGTTCCTAAATCCGAACCGCTGAAGACGCAGTGCCTGTGTTTGTTTTCGAAGGGAATATTCCCCACGAGCAACGTCAATGCTCTCATGTTTGCGCGAATCATTTCACACACCAGACTGCTTTATAAACGAGGATCAGTATAAAGCTGGATTTGCTAAGAAGCTGCTCATGAAAAAAGGATCGGTACCAGCTATTCGTGTTCCTGCTGAACCTCTAGAACAACTGAAGTGAGTGTAACGTTTTATTAAACTTTATATTAATATATTAATCTTTGCAAATCGCTAGCTGCACGCTTCACAATGAATGCGTCTAAGGTTTACATTTAGGGTACATTACGGCATGTTTTCTATGTATGACGTTCTCAATATAATTCATAATCCCACGTTTATACCGAACAACGCGTTATGGTTATTGTGTTATTGAGTTACAAATGGTGTACGCATAGAACAGAGAGGCGGGGTGAGCAAAGCTCATTATCATTTAAAGTCATATGCACTGAAACGGCGTGCTGAAAACAGAGCTGTTTTTGACCAGGTAAAATAAGTGTTTTCCTACAATACTAATGAGAATTTTTAATTAAAGTATATTACAAACTTTTAATTTAGACCCTAAAGAATCATATTAGCTTGTACAAAAATGGCATTATATGACCCCTTTAAGGATAACTACACTGGCGTCCTGCGCCCCATAGAGTTCCATTGTATGTTACTTTTACACGTGGTTGTGTCAGTCTGACCGACATCGAGATGATCATGCAAATTGAAGGGATTATATGCCAGACTGTATAAATGATTCACTGAAGAAGATTCACTTCCTCCTGTGATCCGTAGCTCATTTTACACCTGGCTCACCTTGTCTGTGTCTTACTTTGACCTTGCCGCATTGTTTTATAGATGAGGACTGTGAGCATGTTTGAAAGAATAGGCAAGAATTATTTTATTTTTTCAAAGCTCAAGTCAGATTTGACTTTCTGTGGTGCAAAAATACATAAAGCATTTAAATCATGGAAAATTGCTCGATAAATCACTCAATAAAAAAATAAAAAGCAATGCTGCTTTGCAGGAGCAATTAATAGAAAATGATATAATTTATCACCCTCATGAAAACCGTATCATTTTGGATGCGGGATGACAAGGAAACTGTCAAGTCACATGAAAGCCTGTGCAAAAAAATGATCTCCGCGCAATTTGGCATGTTTCATTGTGTTATCGCAAATAAAACAAATGACTCCAGGCACAACGATTTGCAGCGTCTCAGTCTCACAGGATTAGTTTTACTATATATATGTATGTAAATGAATTGTTACTTCAGATGTTATCCGTAATATTTACGGTCTTTGCAGAGAGGTCTCGTCCGCCCGCCGAGCTGAGGTTCACTACTGTAATGAATATGAACATAACTTTTAAATAAACAGGGGAAATTCCTGACTTTAAACAAATAACAATTTGCTTAGGGCGTTTGCATTGTAAGAATATACAGGGAGACTTAAGATATAAAAACGGTGTCTTGTTAGGCAATGTTTTCTCAGTAAAATCACACAATTTCCTATTAATTCAATAGAACGCGTGAGCTTACTAGGGAATACCAATATGGCGGCGCGGTGGCTTATTTTATGATGTCATGAGCAATCCAGTTCTCTATATACGTAGATCAGTCAAAATTGCGGCCAGTGAAATTTCTGAGTGGTTAGTAACTTTGGAAATCCACTAGCCACATTAACATTAAAACGTTAATGTAAAGCCCTGTGTATGTATGTGTGTGTGTGTATATATATATGCAATTGGAATTGGAACAATGGACTTGAATCTTGTTCAGATCATATGGTAGTTCATCATATTGATAACGTGATCTCAGTTCTATTTAAAAATATTCACCTTCTTTTGTTTGGGAGAGGAAGCAATCTCGGAAGACTCTAATGAGAGGCCTTTAGAAAAAAATGAGCTGATCTTTGAGCACATCTTGGGTGTCTGACGTTTGTAATTGCTGTGTATCATCCTTGTCTTTTCTAAGGTACATAATCGACAGTAAAAACATTGGCACCCACTCAGATACCCAACTCTCTCTCCACAGCTCTGACAGAGTGGTAACAAAGTATCGCTCCAGTGAGAGGAGCGTATGTGTGCATGAACTGAATTCTTAATTCCTTCCTCTGTTTCTTAGATTCAACTTCACTATGCTTGGCTCTCCATGGGGGCCACAGCACTGGTCCACACTGAGCAGAGCTGCTGCTAATGCAGTCTGTGGTGGACCCTGGGGTGGGATAGGGTGGGACACTGGAACACCTTTTTTAATCATTTAAAAAGAATAAATAATTAATAATATATAAATAAATAAATGCTGTTCTTTTGAACTTTCTGTTCATCAAAGAAAAATAAAAGCATCACGGTTTCTACAAAAATATTAAGCAGCACAACTGTTTTCAACATTGATAATTAGAAATGTTGCTTGATTAAAATGATTTCTGAAGGATCATGTGACACTGATCCTGAAAATTCAGCCTTGCGTCACAGGAATAAATACATATTCAAATAGACAACAGTTCAATGAGTTGTATTATTAATTAAATATATAGTGTTGAAAATGAAATATATTTAATTATATATAGTATTAGGAACTAAGTTTGTCTGACGAAAAGTCAGAATGACAGTTGACAGATGTGAACGCGATACATTTTTGTTGCAACGAACACAACGGATAAATTCACCCTAGAGAAGAAAGTACATGGGTTTTATTTCATGTCTCATTTTTATTAATCTTGATTTCTCACAACTTGTGTGCTTTTTCTGGGCGAGTGGGAGTGAACTGAGGCGCTAATAGAGTCTCATGAACATGCAGCCGTGTATAGAAGACCAACGGCCAACGTCAGGATTTTTTCGTCAAATAATTCTATATTCGTTAAATGATAGTAAATAATAGGGGTGTAACGGTACACAAAAATCACGGTTCGGTACGTACCTCGGTTTTAAAGTCACGGTTCGGTACGTTTTCGATACAGCAAAAAGTAAGAAATGCCAGAGAAATTTCCTATTTGTTAAAAGAAAAAATATTTTTTAAATAAGTGTGAGTTTTCCTTCATCTTGAAACTTTCAGGTCTATAAATGGGTGTCATCTTTGAAGGATGAACAAATAATGTTTTGGTCATCACATTAAAAATAACATTTAAATATATGAAGAGTTCAGATGCAAAAGCCTTTTGAAATTTTCTTCTAGAATGATCATTTTTATTAAGCTTGTATATTTAAGTTCAGTAATTTCACTTAAATAGCAATGAAGATTACCTATTAATTGTCATTTGAGTGAAATTACTGAACTTAAATATACAAGCTTCATAAAAATGATCATTCTAGAAGAAAATTTCAAATGGCACTTAGAGGCTTTTGCATCTGAACTCTTCATATATTTATTTATATAATATTTGAGTTTTGAAGTGCTGGAAAAAGATGTGTGAAGTACTTGAAAGCATTTCACTATTCCAGCCAAACTGGTTACAGTTATGGTGAATGTTGCTGGTCTGTGGACGTAAAGTATTACTAGTTTATTCACGGCACAATATTTCTCCTGGTGTCCACGTCAGCGCTGTTTGATCTAATAGAGATCTACGGTTAATAACGGAGAAATGTGAATGCTTCTCACTAGATCTCGCAGCGATGTTATTACTTCAGTGGCGAATTCAAATGTTTTCTTTACTGGATCTCTTAGCGCTGTGTTGTAACAGTGTCGCTTGATCGAGATCGGCTCGCGCTGCACAGATGTTGCTGGTCCGAACTGATAAATGGTCCGTTAAGCACAATATAATGAGTAGCGCAGTTTCGTTCCGCTTTCATTCCGCTTGCCATTTGATGTTGCGCAACGTTGTGGTGGTCGCGCCAGCGCGGATTTTGTCGGCAGGCAGTGGTGGACAGTAACGAAGTAAATGTAATTCGTTACAGTACTTAAGTAGCTTTTTTGCGTATCTGTACTTTACTCGAGTATTTAAATTTTGGGAGACTTTTACTTTAACTCCACTACATTTCAAAGTCAAATATCTTACTTTTTACTCTACTACATTTTCAAAATCAGTCGTTCCTTTTTATTTATG